ACAATGGGATCAAGATGGAGACAACAGTTCCCAAGACACCGCAACATAATGGTGTAGCAGAGCGCATGAACAGAACTCTGAATGAACGTGCCAGAAGTATGAGGATACATGCCGGCTTGCCCAAATTTCTATGGGCTGAAGCAATCAACACTGCAGCTTACTTGATCAACCGTGGGCCCTCAGTTCCTTTGGATGGCAGAATACCAGAGGAAGTTTGGAGCAAGAAAGAAATAAACCTTTCACACTTAAGAGTGTTTGGTTGTATTTCTTATGTACACATAGACTCTGCTGAAAGAAGTAAGCTTGATGCTAAGTCCAACAAATGTGCCTTTGTTGGTTATGGCGGTGATGAGTTCGGTTACCGGTTTTGGGACTATGAAAATCGGAAGATCATCAGAAGCAGAGATGTCATTTTCAATGAGAATGTGATGTACAAAGACAGGTCAATTGTAGAATCAAGTAGTTCAAATACCAAAGCTGAAACAAAGGAATTTGCTGAGTTTGAGGAGATTCCTGGAAATGATGTTCAAATCAATCCTGAAGCAGTTCAAGAAGAACCAAGCACACCAGAACTGAGACGCTCCTCCAGAATTCCTAAACCAACCCAACGGTATTCTCCTTCTTTGCACTACTTGTTGCTAACTGACAATGGTGAACCAGAGTGCTATGATGAATCAATGCAAGTGGAGGATTCAGTCAAGTGGGAGTCTTCCATGAAAGATGAGATGGACTCGCTTATGTCAAATCAGACATGGGAATTAGCTGAATTACCACAAGGCAAGAAAGCGCTCCATAACAAGTGGATTTACAGGATCAAAGAAGAGCACGGTGGGAGCAAACGCTACAAAGCAAGATTGGTAGTCAAAGGTTTTCAGCAAAAAGAAGGTATTGACTACAATGAAATTTTCTCTCCAGTCGTAAAACTGTCTACAATCAGACTGGTGTTGAAAATTGAAGCTGCAGAGAATTTACATCTTGAGCAGTTAGATGTAAAGACAGCTTTTCTTCATGGTGATTTGGAGGAAGAAATCTATATGAGGCAGCCAGAAGGCTTCATAGAGGCAGGCAAGAAAAACCTGGTATGCAGGTTGAAGAAGAGCTTGTATGGTTTAAAACAAGCTCCTAGACAGTGGTACAAGAAGTTCGATAGTTTCATGGGTAGCAGTGGTTTTACCAGATGTCAAGCAGATCATTGTTGCTACATCAAGAGGTTCGACAATAGCTTCATTATTTTATTGTTGTACGTTGATGACATGCTCGTTGCAGGCTCAAACATGCAAGAGATCATAAACTTGAAGCAAAAATTGTCGAAACAATTTGCAATGAAAGATCTGGGCGCTGCAAAGCAGATTCTTGGGATGAGGATCAAGAGAGACACAAAGTCGGGGACTTTGATTTTATCACAGGCTGAGTACATCAACAAAGTACTCTCCAGATTCAACATGCAAGATTCTAAACCAGTAAGTACACCTTTAGGTGTTCATTTTAAACTCTCCAAAGAACAGTCACCAAAGACGGAGGAAGAACGTGCACACATGGTGAAGGTGCCGTATGCCTCAGCAATTGGAAGTCTGATGTATGCCATGGTTTGTACCAGACCAGATATTGCTCAAGCAGTGGGAGCTGTTAGCAGGTACATGAATAATCCGGGCAAGGTACACTGGGAAGCAGTCAAATGGATCCTCAGATATCTACGGGGTACTACAAACAAAGCACTTTGTTTCAAAGGTGGAGATACGATACTGACAGGCTATGTAGATGCTGACTTAGCCGGAAATGTCGACATCAGAAGAAGCACTACAGGGTATGTTTATACTCTAGGAGGAACTGCAGTGAGTTGGGTTTCTCAACTACAGAAGATAGTTGCTCTCTCCACAACCGAAGCAGAATATGTCGCTGTTACGGAAGCCAGCAAGGAGATGGTTTGGCTCCAAAGTTTCTTGGAAGAGTTAGGCAAGAAACAAGAAAACAATGTCTTGTATTGCGACAGTCAAAGTGCTATCCATCTAGCGAAGAATCCGTCTTTTCATTCCAGGACAAAGCATATACAATTGCGATATCATTTTATCCGGTCTCTTCTGGAAGATGGGATTTTGAAACTTGAAAAGATCAGTGGAGCTCAAAAATCCGGCAGACATGTTGACAAAGACGGTGACAACGGACAAACTGAAGTTGTGTTCAGCTTCAGTTGGCATGCTAGAATAAAAGACCAGAAATACTGCTGCATCGATCAAGGTGTGAAGACAGATTAAAATCAGTCTTCAAGTGGGAGATTGTTGAAATTCTAGATGGCTGCCATTCTAGATGGCAGCCGGTTGAATTCAAAAATAGGGGCTGTTGTGTTTTGTTGAATTTGGGCAAGGGTAAATCACACATTTAGTCATTGTACTTTAGGGTATTTTCAAAGATTAGTCCCTAAGTTTCAACTATAAATACCCTAGCTCATTTAGCTTCAAAATCATCCCAAAATCTTCCAGTTCTCTCTCAAGTGTGTTTTGTAAATACTTGTAATTTTTTCTCTTCAGTAAAAGATCTGCAGCAGTCCGGAGACGTAAGCACAATTGGCTGAACTCCGTTATCAATTTTTCGGGTATTATTTTTCCGCTTTTATTTCGTATTCTCACTAATCTGGCTATAGGGAAATTACTTGTTCTCGTTATATTTCCTAACATATAGTTCAATGGTATCTGGTTAGTTTACGCTATAAAATATAATATTAAGTTATTTAATATTGATCTTTACTTAAATATCTAAAATTGGACGTCCCACTTAGTGCCGTCAACGTCGTCGTAGAAAATTTAGAGTCGAAAGTTTAAAAGTCTCGACACGTGTAATAAGCTGCATTAAAGTAGTGTAATAAACATGAATCAATCATCTTACTCGTCAGGGAAAAAAACAATGGAGACGAGAGAAAACGAACAATCCCTCATCAGCTTCAGTTCATCCATGGAGGATGATGAAAATAGAAAAGACAAAGGAGCAAAAAGGGAGGAAATCATCAAGGAAGTGAAGAAACAGCTATGGCTGTCGGCTCTTTAATAGGTGAAAGCTTGTTGCTGTACTGCTTGCAGTTGATCTCCGTTATGTTTGTGGGTCATTTGGGAGCTGTAGCTCTTTCCTCGGCTTCGCTGGCCACTTCTTTCGCGGCCGTATTGGCGTTTAACTTGCTGGTGAGCAGAGACGAATGCAAAATTTTTTGTTAGGAGGACGAACTTACAACGAGTGTTTTTTCTTGTATTGTGACAGATGGGAATGTCGACTGCATTGGAGACCCTATGTGGTCAGTCATACGGGGCGAAGCAGTATCGTATGCTCGGCACGCACACGCAACGAGCCATGGTTGTTCTTTCGCTGATCACCGTGCCGTTAGCTATCGTTTTAGCCAACGCCGATTCGATCCTGGTTGCCCTCGGCCAAGACCCTGACATTTCTCGAGCGGCCGGAGCGTACGCTCGTTACATGATCCCGACCCTGTTTGCTTATGCCATCCTTCAATGCCTTCTTAGATTCCTAAGAACACAGAACAACATATTCCCAATGGTGTTAAGCTCTGGGATCACAACTTTAGTACACATATTCATGTGTTGGATTCTTGTGTTTAGAGTTGGGCTTGGGAACACAGGTGCGGCTCTGGCTGGTTCCATTTCTTACTGGATCAATGTGTTGATGTTGGCGTTTTATATTAATATCTCACCCTCTTGTGCCCAAACTTGGACTAGCTTCTCAAGAGAGTCCTTGCGTGAGATTATGCCCTTCCTTAGACTAGCTGTTCCTTCAGCTGTAATGGTATGGTAAGTCGATATGACAAGGTCCGATATCGAAACATGCAAATGAACTATTAAACCTTTTGTGTTTGTCTCTGCATTGAACAGCTTGGAATCATGGTCATTCCAAATACTTGTGTTCCTGTCGGGTCTTCTTCGGAATCCGGAGTTGGAAACTTCTGTTATTACAATCTGGTCAGTTTTTAGATCCGGATTCGATCAACATATTCTTCGTTTCACCCGAAAAATCTTCAGTTTATGTTCAATGTTCACAGCATTAATACCACTGCAATCATTTTGATGATACCCTTTGGACTGAGTAGTGCTGCGAGGTGAGTTGATAATCGAAACCCATTGTTTACCAGCGTTTTAAATCTTAATGTAAAGCTAAGAAGGCTTTGGTTTGATGACAGTATTAGGTTGTCGAACGAATTAGGAGCTGAAGATCCGAAAGCCGCCCGGTTGGCCGTGCGTGTAGCCCTGGTCCTGGCAGTGGCCCAGGGCATTTTGGTGGGATTGGCACTGATGTTGATGCGCAATGTTTTGGGATACGCTTATAGTAACGATGCACGAATTGTCACATATGTCTCGACCATGATCCCAATTCTTGCAATATCCAATTTGGTAGATGGAGCTCAATGTGTTCTTTCAGGTTTTCTCCTTCGAACTTAGATATATCACTAATCTGTTGGATCGAGTAATGAGAAACTCGAAGCCCCGTTTAGGGGTTCAACCCGGCTCAACTTCGGGTTGTGACATCTCTGTGAACATTTTAGGCATTGCAAGAGGATGTGGTTGGCAAAAGATTGGTGCATACGTCAACCTTGGATCTTATTACATTGTTGGCATCCCTTTGTCTATTGTATTAGCTTTTGTCTTCCACCTTGGCACCAAGGTAACATTATGTCTTCATTTGACTCGATCGACGCGATAGTTTGAGAATGTATGGTGTAATTAATCCGCTTTATCATGCATTTTTATAGGGGCTTTGGCTTGGTATCACGGCTGCACTCTTTACTCAAATGTTGTTTCTTTTGATCATCACAGTTCGGACTAACTGGGAACAAGAGGTGAAAACCCATCAGTTCTCTCATTGCTGCAATTTCATCACCGTAGCTTAGCTTTTCAGCACAATTTACAAGCTTCATTTGTCGATTTTTCCAGGCTGAAAAAGCTATGCAAAGGGTTTTCTGAGTCCGAACACTTGTAGAGGCTGACGATGCTGTAGCTTGAGACTAGGGGTTAAACTTTGTTGTGTATTACAGTTTAAGAACAAAGTGTGGAATGCATATTTTGCATAGTATGAATACAGAATTTCAAAGAAGTATATTCAAGTAGTGACATGAGTGCACCTGCACCAAAATGCGGTTCCTCCGCTTCTGCCTCGAGCGACCGCGATTTCCTCGTCTACATAAAACCAGATAAAGAAGGGATCCTTGACGGTTGGTTCTCTATCGTCTTCCTGGCCAAGACTGATCTCTAAAGGGTTAAAAGGTCCGATCTTAATCCGGATTCGTTCGAAAATGAAGGACAGAATTCTGTTCTTCCATGAAAATCTTCCTTCAAAGGTTAAGAAACCAATTGGTCCAAGAAATACTCCATTCTCGATCCTTCTTGCCTAACAGTTTCAAGCCAGGATCCATTAGTGTCTAAAATCAACAAACAGCAAAGGAACATGAAAACAGCCGCAGAAAAGATTTTTAGTGGCTCTGCAACAGTTAATCAAGATCAAATCTTTACTCAGACTTTAGACCATATCGAATATCACAATCTGAAGCATGAATGACCATTAGACATGGTCGAATATAGCATGATTTTCGGCTAAACGGACGAACCATGATCCTACAGACACAGACACAGAGAACCTATAGTTGTATACTAAACCTTAAGCAAGAATTCAGCCAACAGCACACCTTCAATCATTATTGCTCAGTTAATCAAAATCAAATCTTTAATCAGATTTTCGACCATATCAGAGTATCGCAATCTGAAGCATGAATGACAATTAGACACGGTCGAAGATAGCATGATTTTCGGCTGAACGGACTATGCATGATCCTACAGACACACACACACAAAGAACCTATAGTTGCAAACTGAACTTCAAGCAAGAACTCAGAAAACAACACACCATCAATCATTATTGCTAAGCATTACAAGAGTAATTATGCAAACTGAAGCGTAGGCGAACGCCATCGCCTTCGATCATTGTTATCGTTGTTCAGTGAAACCGATTCCACGTTTCATAAATATCGAATCCTAAGCCACACAATTCAAGCAGCCAGAATTTCTTGTAATATTGAGAAAAAAGGGAAGGGATTTAAGAACTTACAGCAGCATCGAACCTCTGAACCGCCGTAAGAGGGAAGTACCGGCCGCCTTTCAATTGTTTCTGCCACCCAATTCAATCGCATATCACCCAACAAGAACAAAACCATACAAAAACGAAGATAGGAATCAAACGAAAACCTGAGCAGTGAAAATGAGCATCCAAGTTCTACCAGGAGATTCTGGTCCACCCAGAGTTTCAAGGAACCCAGAAGGATCAATCTTGGCCTTCTCAATAACAGAGAAAGCCGATAAAATTTCCTTAGCTGGGACTTTCCTACTTTTTGCTGCATTTTTCAATACTTTAACGCAATCCTCAACTTCCTATCATATTATAAACAATACCCAGAACGCAAAAAACGACGAGTTATGATAACCAATTGCATATTTCATGATTATCATCCTCGAGCAGTTGAATTAAACGAAAAAATCATACTTGGTTCGGCTGCTGCTCTTTAATGAGCATTGAGTTCTTGTCTTTCTCGTCGAGGGCGGCTCGGGTTCTTGCTTTGAAGGAATTGGCATGCTTGAGTGGCAGTAAGGAGGGTTTAAAAGAGACCGATTGTGAGGAAGATGCACTAAGGAATGCATAGCTGCTTAAAGGGGAAAGGGAAAGGGAAAGGGATGATAATGCTGCAGCCTGAGTGCCCATTTTGAGAGGTGATTGCTTCTTCCTGGTTCTTCCTTTTGGAAATTAGAGGCTACCATTTATTCCCCTTGTTTTTTTTTCTTTTCAGATTTTCCCACGTAATCCAGTGATGCTATGGTTTCATAAAGGCCAAATTCTGTATAAGGTGTTAATATCATGCATTGTTTTCGGATTTAGTCCTAAGATTAACTTATTTCATAATTTTCAGTCCTCAAATTGTATATTCTATTTCATTTTAGTATCTACCCTTTTAGTATTAGATTATCATTTCAGACAAGATATTGGTTGGAACAAGACCAGGTATTGGTAGGAACTGAACATCTGCAAGTTCTGACATGGATAACCAAACAACATAACATATGTAATGGTGTCATCTTCTTCTCGATTTCGTCATCCATGAGGAAGAAAACATCAACATGTACATAAGCTCGGACTATTCATGGAAGTCAAATAAAAAATATTCCTTTAGATCAATTGATAGTACGATTGTATATCTAAATTATATAAAAAAATTAAAAATTTAAAAATTATGTTTTCTTATATCTTATTTGGAGGAAAATGATTTCGATCAGTGTTGAAAAAATAACTGAAACGGAGGAGGTGAAAAATTATTCGATGAAATGAGGTGAAATCAGAGGCGGCTTTAAGGGGAGTACCCTAAGCTACTGTTTAGGGCCCTTATTTTTTAATTTTATTATTAAGGGGCCTTGAAGTTTTAAATTTTATAAAATAGTCTTTATTTTTTAGTTTCCGCTCAAGATTTAGAACTAAGGATCCCTAACTTTATTTAATTTTATAAAATAATCCCTACATTCTACTTTTATAACTAAGGGGCCATAATTTTTTTTTATGGTTCATTAATATGATATTAAATTAGTTTTTTCAAAATAATATAATATATTTTCATTCTATAGGTTTTTTTTTTAGTTTTCGATCGAGGTTTATAATTAGGAGCCCTAATTTTTAAATTTTATAAAATAGTCTATACTTTCTACCTTTATAATCGAGGGTTTATGATTTAAACATTTTTCCATGATATATTAATGTAATATTAAATTAATTGTTCAAAATAATAAAATATATTTTCATTATATATGACCTATTTTTTAGTTTTCGCTCAATACCCCGAAAATGTTCGATATGGCTCTGGGTGAAATCTATAGTGCTATCAGAAGATGATCAGAGCAGCCTACGTCTTCAAACTTTTTATTCATGAAAGTTCAAAGATGAAAACCTTGAAGACGTTGTATACCCCAACCGTCTTCCGATAACACTATGACTTTCTTATGAGGAAATAAAAAAAACAAAAAAACTAAGGGCAACACATCGAGGAAGTTTTTTTCATACCTTATATGAAGTGATTATAAAGTAATATATGTATAAAAATAATTTTCAATCATTTTAAAAATAACGCTAATTTTTTCTAACATAAGTGGTGGTGCTCGAACCTGAAACTTCAAAAGATAATAATGTCTCCTTAATCACTGAGATTGTTAACTCATAGAAAATGACACTAATTAGTTAGCGATTAATTAATTGATAATGGATCATAATTGGAATCCAATTCAAAGTATTATTAGTGGTCCTAATGCCTCGATTTTAGGCATGTAAACGAACCGAACGCACACGAACGGATGTATGTTAATGTTCGTTCATTTAATAAATAAATGAACATAAACAAACACGAACATAAATGAACAAAAAAAATTGTTCATGTTCGTTCATTAAGGAATATAGCGTGTTCATGTTCGTTCATTTAAATGATAAACGAAACATAAACGAACACAAAAAGCAAACGCATTCGAACACAACAAATGAATGTAAAAAAAGTAAACAACAAGAATAACAAGTTAAAATTCATTAATATAACCTGAAACTTTAGAGTTAATTTGTTCGAATACGACAAAAATATACATAAATCATAAATAAGCTATATGAACATAATAAAGTCTTAAAGTTAATTTGTTCAACAAAACAATCTTATTGAAATACAAACAACTTCAATAATCTTCGTAACATATTCAACTTGCTCTTTGTTCGAACATAAATGAACAAACATATAATTGAACGTTCACGAACATAAATGAACGAATGAGCCCTTTGTTTATGTTCGTTCATTTAATTAAACGAACGCAAAATCTTGCTCATGTTCGTTCATTTAATAAATAAACGAATATAAACAAACTTCCACCATACAATTCATAAACGGTTTGCTGAATATTTAATTTATTTACAGGCCTACCCGATTTAGTAAATAAAAATGGTTATGGACGGAACCCAAGTAGAAAACTGTTCAACTTCATTTGTAAATACAAAGTAAATTAACATTTAATGCATTCTCAATTAATTAAATATTTAAAATTTATAATTACTCTTCTTGATAATATTATATGTTCGTTTAATTCTATCCATAACAGATTTGGGTAGAATTAGTTAAAAGAAAGGATAAACTACACAATTAGCACCTAAACTATAGTTTTAACTCGTTCTAATACCTAAATTTTTAATTTTTTTAAAACCATACCTAATATTTCCTTAATTTAGGTGCTAAATTTATGACTCGTTCTAGCACCCATTAAATCGCATTATTCAATATTTCCTTAATCCACGCTGCATTTCCCCCTTAATTTATACTTTTTTGACATATTTTCCCCTTAATTTACGAATATATTTGTTATGAAATGCTTAATTAGTGCACGGTAATCATGGTAAAATTGTCTTGTTAACGGTAAAAGAATAGGGGCACATTAGCTGTAAAGCAGTAATTAATAGTAAATCTCGTAATTTACCATGCCCTTATCAAAACATGGAATCTTTTGAGCCGCTTCCCGAGAAAAAGGTAAATTGTACCAATGGCCATTAATATTTCGCTAACTTTATTTTCACCACTAAAGTTTGAAACGATATATAATGGCCACTAATATTGTGTATCACAAAACGATCCCTTTATCGTTAACTGTCGTTATATCGAATATATAATATGTTAACAAAAAGGTTTATCTAATTTAACTCTTAAAATATTATTAAAATATCAATTAAATTCTTCAACAATAATATCACATTCCGATGATTTATATTTTCTATCAATCTCTATTTTTAATAAAGGATCTAATTCGTATTTTAATAATTGTTTAACAATCAAATTAGATATTAACGAAATAATAATTATTTTATAATAAATCGATAACGTTAATAATTATAGCATAATTTTTTAAAGGATAAATTACTTATATAGTACTTAAAGTATAAATTTTGGTATGTTTTATTACATAATTTTTAATGCTTCAAAACCATACATGTTTAGTTTTCATTTCATTCTACTAACTTGTCATTAAAACTTAACTTATTTAGTACTTTAACTATAAATTTTGGCCCGTTTTTGTACCTAAACATTTATTTTTTTTAAATTTAATGTTAAATTTTGAACAAGATACTAAATTGAAACAAAAAATAGAATTTTTAATGGTGGGTTGCTAAAATGAAACAAAAACTAAATTTAGTTAAAAATTAAAAGTTTAGATACTAAAACGGATCAAAATTAATAGTTTATATACTAAATTCATAATTTACTCTTTTTAAAATTTCAGTGTTAACTATACAGCTAAACAGTTGCCTGCCGACCTACCATAATTATTTATTTGATCAAAACCCTAATGCACTCTTATTATATATATATAACCCTTCCCATCAACCTGTCTTCACACTGCTAAGGCTGTCCTGGTAAGGGAAAAATAGAAAGGGGGTTTCTGGGTTCAATATTATGTCTTTTTACTGCTCACTTAGGGTTGAAGATGAAGTGTTATTCACCCATTGGTCTGCTCTTTTGACTGGGAATTTCTTGTTTCAGAAGTAGGGTTTGAGAAGAGAATGTGTAGCTGAGTCAAACTCAGACTCGAACTCAATCACAGACTCGTCCTTCTTATATGTCCTTTGGGTCCCTTTTCTAGGTTTGAAGTTGGGTTGGGGGTGGAGCTCCTTGAAGTCCAATAGAGGGTCTTGCGAGGGTATATAGAGCTGCTAAGCTATGGACCCCAAAGCCCTATCTTATCTCCACTTGGGAAGATAGGGTCTTCGGCTTCCATATCTCAGGAGCTTCATTACCATATATGTCAGATCCTTGTTTGGATTGAAGGGAGCTCTACACTTCTCTTTTCTTCTTCCATGCACTCAAGCAAACCCTCTTCATTACATGTCTCAACAACATCCTTGATGTTGTATGGCTGTTTTTCTTTTCTCGTTGATTTTATGTTTTTAGTGAACCATGACCTAACCTCGAACAGATCTGAGTTACTGTTGTGAATGCAGATTTTTGCAGGAACCAGACATGAATGGCTCAATGATCTGTCTAGATTTCCTGTCATGTTTATCTGTAAAACAACTTGTGGTTTCTGGTTAATCTGCTTTTTGTAATAGAATTGGCGATGTGCGCAGGATAAAAACAATAGGCGTACGGGTGCTAAATAAAGAGACGTAAATGATAATGTGCGCAGCGTAGGCGTAGTGAGGGTATGTGGACCACAGCTGCTTGTGACGAGCGGTCGCATCAACGTCGCTGTTGTTTTATCAAAGAAAAGTCTTTATTCAACAGCTACCACTCATTCACCTCTAGATTTTTTCCCAAAAAAATCTCTGTACTGACAACATAAAATTTTAATTTCATTGATACAATAAAATTATATTTTATGAATTTTAAATATAAATTTTGAAATCAATTAGAAAAATATAAAAAATAAATTAGAAGATCTAAGCACATCATGCAAGTGATTGATGTAGCACAGTAGCTTTGAATAGGAATGCCTTGTGCTAAGATTTTGTTTCAGTGATTTCTAAATTCGAACAACCCGTATGTGTTTTCTGGTCCGCCTTTAATGTTGTAACAAAAGTTTACTGCCAAAAGAAATTTTTGACTGGGATCAAATAATTTTGGATAAATTACATATTTAGTACATAAATGAAATAAAAATTAAAATTTTAATATTAGGTATTAAAATAAAATAAAATAAAAATAAAAATTTTAGGTATGATTTTATGTAATATTGAAAATTTT